ATAATGATGTTGAGCAGTGACGCCAACTGGAGTCTGGATCCTGGGTTATTTAATTGACTTAGAGAGTTAATGACCTTCAACAGTGGCCGGCGCAGTCATTACCGTGAATGACGACTAAAGTTACTCGCCAATTCCCGTCATGGATCTCGGCTGCATTTCACATATTCCACTGACTTGGCTCTGACTTAATGCAGTTGTGTGTAGGGTCGTCCAGTATTAGCTTCTAATTAATAAATTTAATATTCTATCTTAATATAAAACTACTGAACATAAGGCTTGTTAACGCTAGCCTACAGCTCAGAAAAATTAAGGAAATATCGGCAGTTTGGATATAGTACACTGTATAGTGGGAGTGACAGTTTGGCAAAAGTTTTCAAAATCTAATTGCTTGGGTTGGATTATTTGTCTATCGGCCACGCTAATTCCGAATATGTTTGAGTTTTTTACATCATTGCATTAGAAGGTTTGTGGATACTTTTGGGTTTGGCATGAAAAACGCGAAAAAACTGTAAATAATAAAGGGACTGGCAATGTGGCACAACCTGTTAAAATCAAGTTATTGAATTGGATTATTCGACTACTGTGTACACTGGTTCATAATATGCTATTGTTTTACAACTCAATGCGCTACAAATTATGCCGATATTTTTGCTGCAAGTCACCACATACGTATATTTCGAAAACCAGGGCCCAATATTACCAACGGCGTGGATAGATTCCGTGGAATGAATTCAGGACATTCCCGCTCATGGAACATTACCAAACTCCGTATATGTGCCAATGGCAGGCCAATGGCAATATTTACAGAGTTTGTTGAGGCTCCCTGGACGGGAATGCCCTGAATTTATTCCACGGAATCTATTCACGCCGTTGGTAATATTCGTCCCAGGACTGATCAACGAATTCAGCCCAAGTAGCTTGACTTGGACAGTTAAGGACAAAATCTCAGTCCGTACTTTTGAATAAAATATTGTTCAATAGGTGGTGATATTGAAGTGCTGAAAGTTGTTTTTCTGTGTTGTTTTGCAGTTAGTTCAAAGGGCCGCCACCAAGATGGGTCGTCCTAAGATTAGCAACACTCAGCTGCGCCAGGGTAACGATAAGGTGTTCGGGGTTCGGATGCCTCTGCCATCTAACAAGTTGCCTCTGAACAAGGAAGTTGGAAGTGCCCTGGCTTATGAAGCAGAAAACGAGAGGTTAAGGAGAAGAACAAATGCTTTTGATTATATGGATGCCACCAACAAGGTGACTGAGAAGGTACTGGATGTGTATAGGAAGGCCACTGTCCCCACTATCTCTGAAATCAGGGTGAAAATGAGAGTCCACGACCTGTGGAGGATGCGGAGGGAGACGATGATGATGAAGGGAAATGGACAGAAACAGAAAAGGAAGAAAACGAAGAACGGGAAGCTGAAGATGAGGTTCGAGGATATAGCTGAGAAGTTGTTTGATGTGGCAGACGACAGCAAAGTGCACGAACGAGAGAAAAGCTTCCTGGCAGCCCAGAGGAAACCGGGAAGGGAGGGCTGCATTGATGGCGTTGACAAAATTGTGACTGCCAAGCTGAAAGAAGAGAGGGAGAAGGAAGCGAAGAGGGCAAAGAAAAGGGCTGAGGAAGAGAGGAAAACTGAGAAGATGAGGTCAAAGAGTAAGGAGGAGATGGAGAGGATGTCGTGTAAAGTGTCGGCAGTGGATGACAGTGCTCAGGAAGAAGATAGTGATTATAAGGATGTCAATGACAATGAGTTCAAGGCTATGGTCGACAGGAGAGCAAGATCAGAGAAAAGGAAAAGGGAGAAAGAAGCCGAGGACAGGATCGGAGAAACTGCTGACAGGTTCAAGGTATCCAATGATGCAGTGGCTCACATCGCAAACACCATCAGAGCTGCAGACAACATCATAACTGAAGGGGACAAGTCTAAAGTGACTAACTGGAAGAAAGTGGAGAGACGTATGTGGTGACTTGCAGCAAAAATATCGGCATAATTTGTAGCGCATTGAGTTGTAAAACAATAGCATATTATGAACCAGTGTACACAGTAGTCGAATAATCCAATTCAATAACTTGATTTTAACAGGTTGTGCCACATTGCCAGTCCCTTTATTATTTACAGTTTTTTCGCGTTTTTCATGCCAAACCCAAAAGTATCCACAAACCTTCTAATGCAATGATGTAAAAAACTCAAACATATTCGGAATTAGCGTGGCCGATAGACAAATAATCCAACCCAAGCAATTAGATTTTGAAAACTTTTGCCAAACTGTCACTCCCTATATACTAAGCCTTCGGTACATAAGAATGCAAGGTGATTGGCTCTGGATAAGACATCAACATTATCATGATGGTGATTATTGTGTTAAAATCCCTAGGAGTAGATTTTTGCTTCGATAATTTAATTTTTATTTATTTATTTATTTTTTCCTTCTCTGACGTAAGGTGGTCTCTCTCTCTCTTTCTCTAATTACCCAATGTGTATTTACGTGCTTACAATAAATTAAGGAATATATATATATATATATATCTTGATAAAACCACACGGGAGAATGGAAACAACGGAGTACCTTAGGTTTCGTCTTTATTCAAGACATCTTCAGAGGCAACTGGATTACATGGACAGAGAGAGGCTTGAATATACAGGGTGACCTTAAAAACATGAGGTCAAGTCATAATGATGACATCCACTGATCCACACACCAACACACACGTAAAGGAGCTTAAGAGAAGGGTGGTGACGTGACTAACCAGGTCAGGTCAGAAAAAAGGGACCCACAAAATAACTATCATACATCTAGATCAAAGGTCTTCAAAGCATTTTTAACCTTGGGCCACTGACAAATAAATTGATGTAACATATTATCAGTTTTGAACTGACCATCACTAAGGTTTATTGATTTTAATTCCTTAATCAAACTAGCTTCAACCAGAAGTCTTTCTGTGACAAGATGATTTGAATACTTCTAAGCTTTTTTCCCAAGCAATGGGGTGATTATTATTCCTAACATGAACGAACAAGGCACTGCTTTCAGATGCAGTTCTGATATACTTATGTTGTTTGATTCTGAGCTGCAGAGTTTTCCTGTCTGACCTACATAATTACAATTACATTTGCTACATGGAATACAATAAACACTTCCATTTACATTCAAACTTGGGCTATTCCTTATTAACATATTGGTAATGGTTGAGTCATACTTGAAAACAACATTAATATTTAGAAGCGTATTTATGACGCTGCAATTATTGATGAAGAATTGAAACACATTCGTTCTATTGCACAAAAACTTGGGTACCCTTCTATGTTTGTTAATCATTGTTTTAAAAGGGCTAAAAAATCATTTCATATATATATATATATATATATATATATATATATATATATATATATATATATATATATATATATATATATATATATATATATATATATATATAGTGTTGCAATATATTTTCAACATATGCGAGGTTAATGCCAGAGTTGTCTAACGAACGAATATGAAGCTATTTGGTTATATCCATCTGTTGCATCTGAGGTCCTTTTGTATACTGCACCTTTAATGTACAGTATTATCGATTTGCTTTTGTTTTTGAAAATATAAATTTTCAAAAACCATCAAAGTGTGTCATATCTATTAGGTTTTAGTCGATGTTACAATAATGATGTATTTGAAACATTTATTAATTTTCAGATGACTCCTATAGTTTAGGTTAGATTAGATGTGTTGTTACATCAAGTTAGTTTACACGTTAGTTTAAGTTAGGTAAGGTATAACATAACGTAACATAACTTAATGTAATGTAACATAACATAGACTACATGCTTATCACTCTAAAATTCTTTCATCACACACAAACAACAACTCCTTGTATAGTAACTTAGTGAATTAAGTAACGTATAACGCAAGTAAAACCCATCACGTGTATTTCTATTATAACTCATATAACAATAACTTCCATCATAGCCTCCTGAGGATAAAAAGACTTCCTCGTGTAGCAAACTCAAAACTTCTCCAATTAATTATAGACGAAGATCTGAGTTCAGTAAATTTCGGATTACCTGAAGATTAGTCCCGAGCATATATTACCTTAAGATCAACCTAACCTGACCAAATCTGACGTGATTTAACCTAACCTAACCCATCCTAACCAAACCTGACGTGATTTACCCTACCTTAACCTAACCTAATTTAAACTAAACTAATCTAACCTGTCTTAACAGTAACCTAACTTACCCTAACCTAACCCAATCTAACCTACCCTAACCTAAATTAACCTAAACCAGCCCAACCCAACCCAACCTAATCTTACCTAACCTAAACTTAACCTAACCCTACCAAACCTGACCCAACACTAACCTAACCTAACCTAACCTAAACCTAAACTAACTTAACTTAACCAGGTAATAGAACACTGTAAACTCGGCGTCAATTTACACAGAGTAATACATTTTTTCATCACCATAATCAGGTCATCTTCACCTTAACGACCTGTCGCAGCTAACAACCTAATTAAGAAAGTTCTATTGGAGCCAAAAGTGTATTACGTCACAAACTGTTGATGTGTAGTGGCCCAAAACATACTAATTCGGTTGCTTCAAAGTTACTCAAATAATAATGGAAGAAAAAATAGTAAATAAGCAGAATTGGTCTTCGTAAAATATTTTGAATCGATTAAGATACTTCAGACAGCTTGTGGTTAAGATAAGAATGATGAATTGGAGCTTAATGAAAAATTCCTAAGATATAAGATAGTAGGCAGCTACCAAACAGGGAGGTACTACCGCCTGGGAAGATACTGGAAGCATTAATGTGTAATTTGAATTTTTTTTGAACTCTTCCGAGAGCTTGAACTATTCCCTGAACTTTCCTTAAAACTTGCACTTTTTTTTTCTGAACCTTCCTGGGAACTTGAATTTTTCTCCGAACTCTCGTGAGAACTTGAACTTTGACCAAACACCACGAAAGGGTCGCAATAATGAAATACTTTTATTCTTCCATTACAGTTTCTAAGACGATGAAGGAGTTAAGTCTACAGTGGAAGGCGGAGGGACCCGTCAAGATGTACAAGGATCTCCGGATGCCACAGTTTGAGATTAATGGCATTGTGGCCACCACCTGCCAGGAGAGCTTCCAGATAGGTGAGTGTAAGAGACTTCGACTTACTGTGGGAAGGTTGAGTAGAGGAGGTACCTTTAGCAGTGTTGGTGAGGTAGTGAAGTGACCAAGTGTGATAAGTAATACCTACAGACAAGTGGCTAAGACAACGGTATAATATTATTGTAATGGGGAAAAATCGGTTTCTAGTTAATGAAATCATTGTAGTATATCACAAAGAAAGGTAATTGACAGGATTACAACCATTTAATAAAGTATACCAATACTTTAATATTTAGCCATTGACAGCAATAACAGGTAACTGACCAACTGTTAACTGTACAGTAAAATTTGGTTTATTTTTTCCGATATCCAGTAAACCACTGAATAAACCAACTGTTAACTGTGCAGTAAAAGTTGGTTTATTTTTTCCGATGTCCAGTAAACCACTGAATAAGTTACACCGAAACTATATATACAGTAGTTTTCATTTTAAAATGCAATTGAATAAGTGTATCGTATAAGTTCTTGAAAAACTTAAAAGATTACCCCAATTCGCAGTATATACTGTATATAGAGGGTGATTCACGAGCTGGTACCCGGAGTGTGTCTGGTATAGCCGTTATATACAAGTCAATAAACAAAGAGAGGGAGAGAGAAAAAAAATTGAGAATAACAATAAAATTTTACTGAAAATAACACAAAAAAATAATAATGAACAGAAACATTAGCGATACTCTGGGGCCACCACCGAGTGCATCATCCAAAGAACAAACACAATAACTATCGATCACGGCTGGTACTGGTAGGAAACATTACGTCGACTTATTAGTTAATTCTAGCCATCAAACACGGACAGTTTTCTGGCGACATCCTGGTGAAGATGACGCCAGCGTGACCCTCAGAGTGTTGTCACCTCGAGGGGAAGGTAGACGGCTCCTGTGTAGTCAACTGGCTGCAGTTAAAGGAGCAGTTAAAGGAGGTGGATCCATTTCTTATTGTGATGTGAGCCAGGGTGAGACGACACAGCTCCAACACCTGTATGAGAGAGATAATAACACTAATATCGGTGACCTGTGTGTCTTAATTTACAGTTGTTGATGGCTATAGTGTAGTGTGTCTGTACTGAACATGGAGTTGACAGAATGGGAAACAGTATTCATTTTGTCTGTGGATCGTGTTACCTCATATGTCATGTTTGCCACACAAAAAATTCGAAGGACATGTCAACACTTGTTAACATCACACTAAAACACCGAATATCTTCTTTCTTTCTTTCTTTCTCGATGAAAAACAAACACATCTAATTGTAAACCGGCAACAGATGTTCTGTTACATGAGGAACCAGTTAACAGAAGAGACAAATGCAATTATGCTATAACAATGTTCCCAGGTGAGACGAATAATTCTCTCGTCCAGTCAGAGATGAAGGTGAGAATATACCTGTGGACACAACTACAGGTGTGTGTCTAGGAAAACCATGTGGTGATCTTACTTTCCCCCGTTAAAGATTAATTTGTAATATATTAAACTACCATGTTTGTTTTTTATACCGTCTGGGAGGCGAAGGTCACAGACTGCATGGCGTGGATTTCGTTTATCTCGTTAGGAATAATTATTTTGGAGGATTAATTTCTGAGTCTGCACAGTTGTCTCATCAACTCGGCCTTAAGCTTAGTGGGGTTTAGAAGTAAAACTCTATGGTTACAGTGACGATTGACAGCCTCACACACACACACACAACAGCTTCCCTTAGGCTGTCATCGAGCTCCTTGTAATTAACAACGCAAACTTATAATTGACAGCAGCTATTTATAAATGACAACAGCTAGTTACAAATGACAACACCTACTTACAAATAACAGTACCTGCTTACAATTAACATTATAACTTGCAACACATACTTATACTTTAATTGACAGCATCTAATTTCAGTCGACCACTTGACGGCCTCACACATAACAGCTTCCCTCAGGCTGTCATCAACAAGGCCTGCCCCCTCTTGCATGGATTAATGCAAAGGACGCATTTCTCAGCCCAGACATGTCGCTCGGAATATATTTCCATCTCGCCTTTACATATTTTTCCTGTGTAGTTCATGTCTGTTTGTCTTTCTCTAAACATGATCATTACGGCAATGGCTGTTATCCAGGCGTTTTTAAGAGTAAAAGAGGCGTTAGAATGCAACTACTACTACGAATAATAATAATAATAATAATAATAATAATAATAATAATAATAATAATATTTATAATAATAATATTAATAATAATTAATAATGACACTGACAATCTCTGTGTGAAGGCGTGAGAGCCACAACACACCTGAATGACGTTACTCGTGGAAGTTCAGGTGAAACCCCCAGATCAACTTGTCACAGGCGTCGTCGTTGTCCCCCAACAGTATAAAGTTTAGTGGAAGAAATTTTTTCGAGACGTGTGAAGCTGTTGGAGCGTCGACCTCTTCGCTTGTAGGTTCATATACTAGTGGGGGGAGGCAGTTAAATGTACACATACACCTGCTAACACTGTGAGGATCCCACCACCGCACCACTCAACCATCTCCTTGTTTGTAACTTCACCAGACACCACAAGGACCGACCAACATACACCCTTTACACCACTCAACCATCACTCCCTTGGTTGACACATTACTGATTCCTTTATGAGAACGTTGTAACAAACCAGACGTTGATTACTAATCTGAACTTACACACCTAAACCCCGCCTCATTTGTAGAAGTGGTAAAACCTCCAACCCAGGCTTCATCAATATTCCATATCACAGGAGATAAATCTTGTAGCGAACGCCATTATCACGGACACACAGTGGCGTGTCTCATGCGCCCCTCCTCCATAATGTACCATCCAGGAGAGGGAAATAAAGGTGCAGACAGTTAATGTATCTGGATATGCTCTTAAAATGTCAGCGTTTTTTATCTTTATAACTTGTTTAACTATACAATCCTACCTGGCTTTACCAACCTACCTGGTTGGCTATATTAACCTACCCTGCCTATACCAACAGACCTTGCTATATCAACCTACTCTGGCTATATTAGTCTAACCAGGTTATATCACATATCTGGCTTTTATCAACCTACTTGGTTATACTTACATACCTGGCTATATTATTCTACCCTGGCTATATCAATCTACCTGGCTATATCAACCTACCCTGGCTACATCAACCTACCTTGGCTATATTAATCTACCCAGGCTATATCAACTTACCTGGCTATATAGACCTACCCTAGTTATATTAACCTACCCTAGCTATATTAACATATCCTAGCTATATTAACCTACCTTAGCCATATTATTCTATCCTGGTTATATAAACCTACCTTGGCTATGTTAATGTACCCTGGATATATCAACCTACTCTGGGTATACCAACCATATAATTTAGACATAACCTGTTGCTGTGCAGTGTCTCCTGACTATTAAAGGGCTGCACTGGTGTATCAGTGTGTTTAAAGAGTAACGTAATTAATTTTTCCAAGCAGTTGTATTGTTTTAGCCAAAGTTATCAAACTATTTTACCTAAGTTAGTGTTAATTGCCATCTGCTCTGTTACCTCCATACGCTGAGTTCGTAATGTAAAGGAAAATGGGAAATAGAATGTAGGATCCATGGCCCGTTAGGGGCTGTGTGGATACGGCATACTTAAGGCCATGTTAGTTGAATTGTACTTTCTGAAAATAAAGATTGAGTGAATTTATCTTCTTTTATTGTTTAGATCAGCTGATGTCAACATTTTTTGTATCACGTACAATGGAAGTAGTTTAAGTTATCGTTATTAGGATTTATACCAGTTTGATTCTAACTTTGTTTACCTGAACGTTTGTTTACTGGAACGTTTGATTGTGGAAGTTTGTTTACTGGAACTTTTGTTTACTGGAACTTTTGTTTATGTGGAAGTTTGTTTACTGGGCCGTTTGTTTGAGGATTTTTTTTTTTGCGGGATTAGGCCACCCAGACACAGGTCACCGATCCCCATCGTAGCCTGGGGGCGAAAAAAAAGGAAAAGAAAAAAGAACCATAAATAAATAAAAAAATGAGGCAGAATGTCAGTCAGATCAACAACTTGGGACATGGTCACAATTTTTGTGATGCCATATGGCAGCACATTTTGCTTCCATCTATCTGTCTGTCTTCCTTATTTATCTATCATATGTGTATCATGTATCTATCTGTCTCATCTATCCAACCACCCATCCTCTCACACCATTGCACCTCATTACCTACATGGCTACATCTTCGATCTTCCTAAAGGTTCACAATATGGTATATAGCTCACTATATCACTCACCATTAACAAAAACACACAAAATATAGTAACTCTCAACCTAATGTTTACATCATCATTATCTCATTCCTGTTTGCTCTAGATGTGCATAACCGTCTATGTATATTTATTTTATATTTTAACAACACCCTTACCATACCTTCCATCCTATACTAGAGTAAAGGTTAATTAACTTTCAGGCTACCCCAATATCCATGCAACTAATAAACATCAGAACTGAATTTCAAATTTTATCCCAGACCAGTGAAAAGATTAATTAATTTCCAAGTTATCCCTTAATACGACCTAAATAATCAACGTTTTCTTTCATGAAAATGTTTTTAAATAATATAAATTTCCTCTGTTTACTAGTATCAATTACATTTTTCATATTCATATCATCCGTCGTTTCCGCAATACCTGTCGTATGCTCATATCGCCAGCCAGCGGGGCCTGACGTAGCTGGGTAGAGAGGAGTTTTTACACTGATGGAGTTTTTATCCCCCACTGAGGCCTTTACAACAGGCAGGGATACGGCGGGTCGCTTGTTTATGAACCAAACCATCAAACCTTCCAGAAATATACTAAACTCTCTTATTTCCCCTGTGTTTTATATCTTTACTTATTGTGACGTCAAACTGATCGGCCGGTAATTTGACGCTGATGCTCTGTCTCCCTTTTTGAATATGGGTACTACATTTGCCTGTTTCCACAAGTCTGGCACAACTCCAGTGTCTAATGATTTTGTAATTAAG